CTCCTTCTGCCTGTTACATACATTTTAACAAAACCATTATACCCTGATTTCCCATTTTCAATGGGTTCAGGGTATAAAAACAATAAGACTATATTAAAACCAGACAGTCTTGGATGATTAATATGTAAAATAATATAATAAAATCATAAGACTACATATGATTCCCAAGCTGTTAAAATTGTCCTTTGCCTTCTCTATTTAAATATATAAATAAATATATATTTTGTAGATCATTTATTTATATATTGTTCTGCAATATCTACTCAATCATAATTCATCCTACCAATTTATATATGAATTTAAGAAACTCTTTAAAAATAGTTTAAGGTAAATAAAATAAAAAAAAAATTAACTAAAAAATTCTTCAATTTTAACGCCCAGTTTTCCCTCGAACCAAGCCCACTGTTAATGGAATCTATTCGAATTCTTTTGTTGCTTTGTTCGCTTGCTGCAACACTTGCATTATGGCCACATTGTTGCCAACGCTGCTTTATCGTGCGTGTCTAGCAGCAGCAATTTGCCCGTGTTGCAAGCGCTGCACAAATTTGTACATTGGCAGCGATCATTGGGGGGACGACTGTTGCTCTGCTATTCCGCCAGTCCCCGGTGGCGTTTATGGCCCAATTTGCTCAAGCCGGGGGCAGAGGCGGTGCCTGCCAGCAGTTGCTGCCTAAAATAAACAAAATTAACGCAATGCAAAAAGCATTTCCCAGGGCTAAGCCAAACCGACATATTATAAAATAAACTTTCTAGCGAAATGTGTACAAATGGCGGTCCGGCTCTGCACGGCTCTGTGGGCGGTCGCTGTGCCCGGGCCAACAGTGCCGGCCAGACCAGACACGCGGTTGGCCACTCGGTTTAACTAAATTAAAATCGTGTTAATTTCACATTAGAGCGCACACGGCCAACATAGGCTGTCCGCTCGGCCGTTCCCGAATGGCGGCGACTGTCACACGCTGCAGCAGCAACCGAACAACAAGTCCCCCATGGCGTGGCATGCAAATTGCAAGCGGTAAATAAAATGGCCAAGATAAGCCAACAATGAAACTGAAGCAGAAACTGAAACTGAAACAGAAACTGCAACTAACTGGAGTACTCACCGGCGAGGAGTAGGGATGGGCTGTGAGGCGTATGCCGTCGGCCTCCAGGTGGCGCTTCATCACGCCCTCGAGCTCCTTCATGGTGATGGGCGAGTCGCAGTCGGAGGCCAGTATCTCGTTGCTGTTGCTAAGCGCCTTCGGATCGTTGATGAGCACATAGACAATCGCAGCGCCCTTCTCGCGCAGCGCCCGCACGCTCTTGAGCAGCTTGCCGCGATGCGAGGAGTTGTCCACGCCGATGGCATCCAGATCGATCTCGCCAATCTGCTTGCAGATCTCCAGCTCGTCGTAGCCGTTCTCCAGGAAGCTCTCGCCGTACTGCGGCAGCCCGATAGTGCGCAGCCACTCGCAAACGATGTTGTGGTGCGGCATGTTCGCGTATCACGTAGCGGCCGATGGAGCCGGAATGTCTAGCGGTGCGAATGAGACTTTGGGCTGCCGCGGCTTACAGCTGTTGCTGCTGTTGCTGTTGCTGTTGCTGTTGCTATTGCTGTTGCTGTTGCTGCTGCTGCTGGGGGCCGCCAGTGGCTCCAAGTGGTTGATGCTGCTGGCGGCGCTGCTGCTGCTGCTGTTGGCCGTTGCCTTCATAGCAACGCCTGCAAAGAAACACAACATCCACATCAACATTAATGAAAAGTGAAAGCCAACTTATGCTACAGTGTGCAACAGTGCGTATGCTTAATAATGGCTCGTCACTTCCGGCGCCCGCAAAAGTATGCAATAGGCAGTTATACACGTATATCAATTTTGTGTTAATAGCCATCATTGTTCAAAGACAGACAGACAGAGAGACAGTGAGAGAGAGAGAACGACTTGTTTGGCCAGCCAGCCTATAAGCACTTAATGATAATGCTCGGTCATGTACACGGGCCACTAAAACACTCGAATATGTTTAGCCCCGGAAGCCACTTGCATATGAATAAGCCACTTAAAATGACAGATGGACTCAATACACACAAACACACACACACACACACATACATAGCGATACACAGAGTGAGAGAGAAAGACAATCATAGATGGCAGCTGTGGTGAGGCGGAGCACTTGAACAAAAGACAAAAGGAAGTCGTCTAACTATTTATAATGTCCTGGCAGTTCGTCCTGCGCCTGAAAAATATTTCTGCTTGTCGAAAAATGAAATGCAAATGGCTGTTGCCACTAGAAATATGTGCTGCCATTTCCATAACACATTCGTCTGGCTTAGCTCAGGTGTCCAGTCGTGCGAGCGCACACACACGCACACACACACACATTTATAGCGAATTCAAGGAAACAATGCTCTAATGAAAAGATGTTATGTGGCTACAGTTTTCGGTTGCGCTGCTCCTGCAGCTGTCATTAAGTAGGGTGGTCCAGTGACATCGTCTGTGTGTTGATTTATTTACACACACACACACACACAGATACACAATCAGACATTGTAGGTATACATATTTATAAGATATTTCATTTGTTGTTTGGTGCCACTTGGGAGCCACAGTCAGGCACTTGAGTTTGCCTAGCCGACTTATTGATCGGAACGTAACAGCCTCTCTCTATCTCTCTCTCTCTCTCACTCTCTCTGCCACATGGTTCTACGACAGATGATTGAACAGCCCTTGGTAATTAAATGTGGAAATTGTTGAGCAATAAGTGATATTAGATATAATATTAGATATTCCAAGAGTTGCCTCTATACCTTTTGCATATTGGCAGACAGCATTAAATAAGTTGCACATGAAAAATTTATATTCAATTAGATGAAAGATTTGGATACGATTAAGAATCGTAATTGAATATTTAGATTTATGTGTAGAAATTTATATATATTTATGAAATAATACTATTGTAATAATTTGACCCAAAACTTAGACACGAATCAATCTAGGAATGTTTATTCAACATTTATTATTAGCTATAGATAATAAACTGCCTTAATTCGTATATATATTTTAATAAAATTATATAAAAATAAAAAAGTGTATAAATAATAAAAAACCTTTTAAAGTCAACTTATGCCCAAATAAAATTTTTTTATTTAACAATTCATTCCTAAAAATATTTACATTCACAGCTCAAGCTCCACTGATTTTGCTCAACTTTCGAAGCTCTTAAACTCTATCACTTAGAATTTGACTACATAGTAGTGTAACTAACTATTCATCTTTATATACATATATAATTCATATCTTCAATATCTGCCAAATACCAAATACATGTGTATGTGTATCTACAGCACGTTTATCTTTCTCGGGGCTCGAGTATTTTGCATATTCATTAACACGTGTTTATCTACATGAATTTTAGTTATGTTTAACTTTCATTCCTTGAAGAACTGCGCCACTGTTTGCACACACACACATGCACTCGCACACACTGGCAAAGTTTTCTCGCATTGTTAGCATAATAAACACGTAATAAAATGCGTAAGGCAAAATCGGTAAAGTCAATGTTGAAGTAGATGCAAATTTGGATTTTCAAGATGCTGCCCAAAAGGGCCACAACAACGACAGCAACAAGGAGTTGCAGTTAATGAATTTGCAGTAGTCAAATAGAAAACACACACACACACACACATATATAGATTGCTGTTGCAATTTACAGAATGCATAAAATTTCTGGCTTAGTGAGGCGGTCAGTGTAATTACTTGCATGACTGTAATGCCAAAATTGACATATGAGTTGGCCTACGACTCGTTGGCTAAGCATCTTCAATTTTCAATTTCATTGTTTATTAAATGCCAATGGAATATCCACTGTGCATGTGTGTGTGTGTGTGTGTGGTAAGCGTCAAAGGTGTTTTGCTTTCGCACGATTTCCGTTTGTAATTGCTTATTGTGTAAATTTCGTTCAATTTCCTGTTCAACTGAGCTCGGCATTTATGAGATTTCCTTAATTTCAATGCATTTGCAATTACGGCATTAATTATGATCATGGGTAGCCTGTGATTAGGTCTCTCATTCTCTCTCTCTCTCTCTCTCTCTCTTGCTTTCTTTATGTGTGAGAATTGCATCAGTTGTGTGTGATATATCAAAAATCCTTATCCATGTCTTTACAGAGAGTCTTCAAGCAGAACTCTAGAGTTACTTTGACTAAATCTTTGTATGGGCTGTCGAACTTTACATCTTAGAGCATATCTTAGCCAACTATCAATGTAAGAACCGACTTGTTTTAGCTGACTGTCAGATGTATGATAAACTGGTTATCGAATAGTCTAAGCTTACCTTTTATGAAATGAATTCACACAAAAACGGGACTTGAAGCGTAGCCAACTACGGATACATGAAACTGGTTTAGTGCCAAAAATATTTGATTAGCTTAGCCTCAAGCCTCGAACATGCTCACTTAGACCTTGATTTATATAGCTGAAGAACTGAATTATATGGAATACCAAAAGAAGCCATATATAAAATACCCAATATATAACCGGATAGAACTCTGCGTTTTCATTTGAAAAACTCTACGTTATATAAAAACTAATTTAAGCTGCCAGCTCAATTAATGCACACACAAATAATTAACTAAATGAGCTTTAATTTTAGCTATATATAATATATGTATTTTAACTATATTTTTGCATGAGTATTTGCATATCTCTAATATTTAACCAGTGCCCATTTTTATGGCAAGCAGCCCAAGTAATTAATTTTAATATGAAAGTCAAACATGCGCTCTAACAATTGTCATATAATTTGCCGTCTAGACAGTGGAAATTTAGTATTTTCAATTAACTGCAACGGCAACGCGACTCGCCGCGCCGCTCTTGCCCCAGCGCAGCTCCCACACAGAGCTAACAAAAACAATGCACACAAAAAGGCGCACAATGCAGGAGCTGGAGCTAGAGCTGGTGCAGGAGTCGGTGCAGGAGCTGGAGCTGGAGCTGGAGCCGGAGCTGAAGCTGGGAATCGTAACTGGATTTGCTTGGCTGCCATGTTGACAAAACACACAGCTGAACTGCATGCTAAAAAAAAAAAGAAAAACAGAAACAGAAACAGGAAGGAGAGAAGGAGAGTAGAGTAAAAAACAATCGCATACAATGCACAGTGAAAGGGGCTCAAAATGCAACTCGGGAACGCCCTTGCAGACGCGCCGGTCGGCCAGCAGGCGTTCAGCAAAAAGCAGACGAGTTTGTTTTGGGCTCAAGGTTCGCTGCGGAACAGCTGGCTGTGTGGCAAGTCCTCTCCTGCTGCTGCTGCTGCAGTCGTGCGCGTCAATGTCAGTGCACCTGGCGCTGCACTTGCCACTTGCTACATGTAGCACGGCACTCAGCGAGGCAGCGAGACAGCGAGGCCCGGCAACACAGCCTCTGACAGGCTACGCACTTGCGGTTGCGTTTGCCTGGCGGGTGGATGGAGAGAGGGAGGGAAGGAGGGGGAAGCCTTACAAGCGTTTCGAGTGGCATCTTTCCTGTATGGGGACACTGCTTAACAAAGCGTGTGATGTTAACGGATTCGATTTCACTTTTTTCCCTGCACATCAGTCTCTCCATCTTGCCATCTCGCTCACTCCCGCTGCCTGTGCTTTGATGTCGTGTTCGCATGTTGTTGTAGCTGCTTAATTGAAATTGCATTTGCTGCGTTTGTTTGCACACAATTACAAGTTCTGAATTATAACAGGGCATCCGAGACGCGTCTCGCTTCCCATGCAAATATGCGACAAGCTGTCAGACAATTCTGCGGTTAACGAGCTTTCATTATGCATTCGAAACCCTTCTTAATACACACAATGCAAATAACCCTTTATTGAATTTTTCGGCATTAAGCTTTACCCAAATCCACTCAAAGTGAAAGGAGCAGATCGAATACACTTGACAACAAACATATAACAGATTAATTATATCATATTTTTTAATCTCTTATGAGAAAATATTAATTAGAAAATATTATTTATAATAAAGAGGTTTCAGGGCATGAAAATATTAACTATAAATATTTTTATGTGGCAAGGCAAACCAAAATTATACATATCACAGATATACTCTACATATCTATTCTCTCTGTTAGCATATTTGAATTTTTGTATAATAAAGTTAGGTACATAAATCGCAGTTTTTCTTTTATTCCTTCTCTTGTTTAGTCATAGGAAAAGAAAACTGATCTACTCTTAGTCAATCTAGTCTTCAGTCAATCATTTCTTATTCACTCTGCATACTTTTCATGTTCAAACTTTTCTTTAAGTACACGCAGCCTAAAACTTCTCATTAGAAATTTGTCCTATCTTATCTTATTTGCACTCATGATTTCACACCAAAAATGCTAACTCATGCCCTCGCCGAAAACTCTGCATGCTCTCTAGATCTATTCCGCGTTGCGTTAAAGCCAAAGAGCTCGACTGTCTGCTGTAACTTTATTTCAGTATTTTTACGTGTCGAAATACAAACTCTAAGATGAAATCTACTCTATCGATTTTACAAATTTACATATATACTAAAAGAAAAAATTTAATAATCTTCAATTCTATTGAAAAAAAATCTACATAATATATATACATAAATATTAAACGATAAACTTGAATAAAATTATATTATTATTATATATTATATTTATATACAATATTATATGACATTCCAATAAGTATTTGATGAATTTATTGAACATTATATATACGGTTTTATAAATTGTGTGTAAAATAATTGAATAAATTTAAGCAAAAGTATATGCTGTAGAAGTAAATTATAATATCACCCTAACTAATTTTTTTTTTAAATATTAACCTTAATATTTTCATATTACTCCCACACTTCCCCTATACTTACAATTTAGATTGGAAATCAATTTGCTCCGCTAAATATAAATAGATATTTATATATAAATAAATCCTATTGGCGGCTCTGGATGGGCTCTCTAATCCATGCACAATTTACGCATTAGCTTTAAGCAGCTTTTGTTTATGGTATTTTTTTTTTACTCTTTTGACCTGCGTTTGGCTTACAGCGCCTATATCAAAGGCTTCCACTTGTTGTCCGTCTGTGTCTGGCTAACTAGCTGGCCAAGCTGTGAGCCAAGCTGTTGGTTCAACATGCACAATTATGCCATGTGATTTATGGCGCTGGCTTTGGCCACCTCAGCGCACCTCAAAAGGCCGTGCAAAAAATGGCGCGCAAATGGCCAAAACACCGGCGGAAATCGGGGGACGCCACAAAAGCGGCCAATCGGCAAACGGGGATTGGGGACAGGGAATCGAGAATCGAGAATCGGCAATTGGGGGAGAAAAAAGCGCGTTGATTGCGAATGAGAACCGAAATTGCAAAATAAAGCCAGGCGAAAACCCGCAACGCTCTCGATGCCGTTAAATCACGCGCGCGGCGTCTGCAGCAGCGGCTGTGGCGCAACAAAAAACGCAACCAAAGTATGCAAAGCACGCGAACGTACTGGCAACGGCCATGCCACATGCAGCAAATGCAACCGAGTGTAGAGCTCGGCAAACTTCTCGAGAAAGGAAGGCCGCCGTTAACGTTGCCGTCGCCGTCGTCGTCGTCGCCGTTGCCGTTAACGTTAACGTCTCCACCATGGCCAACGACCGTGCGGCGGAGCAGAAGCTTTGCAAACGTTGCAAGTGTTTGTTGTAAGCGATATCCCGAGCCCAGACGCAGGCCGCGAGGGAGCTGCAACAGCAGCAGCAGCAGCAGCGTCAGCGACGGCGTCGCAGCTGGGGAGGTTTTTTTTCCACCTTTTTTTTGCGAAGCAGCCACCACCGCCGCCAATGTGGCAGCATGTCTAAGTGCAGAATGTAGGTGAGGCAGCTGCCATATCAGTCGCATGTGCCAAAGCGAGACGGGCAACTGTCGAGCAGTGTTTACCTCGGCTTAGAGCTACGTCTGGCTGGCAGCCTCGCTGCCTGCTGCTCGCTGCCTGGCGTAGGCTCGACACAAAACATGAATGAGCTGTGAAGCAAATGAAGTGCTGTGCACAGTGCAACCCGCAGCGTTTTTAAATATAGCTAAAAGAGGAAGAAGAAAAAAAAACGGCAAAAAACTGAAGCTGAAAATATATATATATATGGAAAAAAGCGTAAAAATGCAACGCATGCAGCGCGGCAATGACGACATCGTCTGCAACATGCAACGCGGCAGCAGGCAGCAGGCAGCGACGCCGACAGATGCCGCTCGCAGGCTCCCGGGCGGCTATCATGTCAACGCCGCCGTCCTCATTTGTCTGTTTGTTGCAAACATTTCTGCTTGTTTTTTTTTTAATTCTCTTTTTTTGTTGCAGACAGACAGACAGACAGACAGGCAGTTAGGCAGACAGCCAGCAGGACGGACGGAGGGACGGACGGAGGGACAGTCGGGCAGGCAGTTTAGTTTTGACTTCGCCTGGCCACATTTTGTGCCTCATCATCGGTGTCGCTCAGCCGCTGGTGGCGACACATGGGAGTGACTGCAAATAAACATCAGAGGAGTCCATATCCAGCAGCAGCAATTGTTGTTGTTGCTGTTGCTGTTGCTGTTGCTTTTGATATTGTTGCTATATTCAGCATTTGCAGCAAGGGGAGCTGGTCGGTATGATGAGCTAAGATATGATATGCTCAGTGCATATAGGGCCATAATTTCTATTTATTGTTGATTCATTTGTCATTAATCATTTTTCACATGCTTATTTTATTTAATTCGTACATTATAAATATTTAAATTATATTTTTAATTATATGTATATGCTTTTTATATATATTTTTTATATATACGACTCATAAATATTCATATCGACTAAATAATTTAATTTTCATATTATATATATTACAAAAAAATAGAAGCATAAAAAAATTTAAAAAAATAAATTATTTAAAAAATATACATATATAATATTTATATAAATATCTTGGAAAAAATCTAATCTGGCGAATAAATATTTTAAAGTTAATTTTTTTATATATAGATTTATATAAACCGAACAATATTTATTTTGATATACTTGAGCATTAGTTAATTTATTCTATTTATTTATTTTTTTTTCATATTTTTTATATATATTTTTTTTTATTTTATAATTTTGTTGATGTTATTTTGTCATATATTTTCTTTTTGCTTATTTTTTTTCAATTTTTTTTTTTCAAAATGATTCTTTTAAATCCCACAAAGACTTAAAAATGTGAGTGTGTTCAAAGCTCCAAAACAAATAGCCGTAATACCCATAAGAAATCGGTTTAGCTGGCACACCCTGTTTATTTGCTTTACACTGCAGACTGCGCGGCTCGTAAGCATTGTTTAGTGCATGTGACCGAAAAAAAAACACAAAAAATTAATCAAAGGAAAATTATAAAACAAAGGCAATGAGGACGACTCCGAGGACAAGTCAAGAGCCGGCGACGGCAATGGGCATTGCATACTAAGAGGCGCTGCAGCAGACAGACGGGCGCACATATGCAAATGTGTACAATGTATACGTGTGTGTGTGTGTGTGTGTGTATTACTACACAATACAAGTGCAGACGCAGTTGAGACAGAACAGGGACACACATCCACACACACGCGAATCTGGAATGCGTTGACAAAGCTGTTTGCGCTGCAACTGGAGCGCAAGCATATCAAATGCGAGTGTGCATGGGTGTGTGTGTGTGCATGTGGGTGCATGTGTGCATGCGTATTTGTGCTTTTATCAGACTTGTTTTGATAGTTGACTCGATTCTAAGCCTATTAAGGCGCCCGAGTCGCTCAACAATTGAGCGGCTTAGCACTGAGCGGGTTTCCAAGCAGCCCCGCCACATGATAGCCAGCAACAAAGTTAAGCTCTGGCCAGGCATTAGCTTCTCTATGCCCATCTCACACTCTTCCTCTCTCTCTCTGTCTCTCCATCTCTCTTTCTTTCGACTGCCCTGCCCTGCAGCTGCAGCTGCTGCTGTTAATAATTAAGGCTGCAGCGCGCTCGTTAGGCACATCCATCCTATGTAGATCTCCCACACTCCCTATCGTTATCTATGTGACTATCGTCCTCTCTCTCTCTCTCTTTCTCTCTCTCTCCTACTCGCTCCATCTAGCTCCATCTATTTGGCTCTTTTTGTCTCGGCTCTCTCTGCCCGTCGCGCCGGCAATTTTCTCAAGAAGCCGCACTTAAATGGCTTCCTGTGCGGGCGCAAACAAAAGCTGACTGGCTCACACACATGTGTCGACCCAAGTATCTCTGAATGTATGGGAGTACGTGGATGTGTGTGTGTGTATTTGTCTCCGACAGCAACAAAAAAATATGGCAGCAGCAACAAAAATCTCTGACTGACTCTGGCTGCAAGTCGAGTGGCGTCGCCTGGTGGTTGATTTTGTTGTTGTTGCCGCTGCAAATGGAAATAAAACAACAAAAAAAGAGTTGCAATTTAGTCCTGTTATTATTATTGCTGTTGTTGTTGCCGGTGCTGCTGCTGCTGCTGTTGCTGTTGCTGTTGCTGCTGAGCGCAACACATGCACCATTATGCAATTGATTTTCTTGCTTTTTTTTGCAGCGCTCAAGCTACGTTTTTTGCATTGTTGTAGGCGAAGCTGCTTAAAGCACTTTTTCAGTTTTTCTCCTTCATTTTTTTCAGCGGGATTACGGAGTTCAGCTGGGTCATTCAACCCAGGTGGCAGGCGACTAACCAATTTGCACGGTAGGCCAGTTACGCCGTGGGCTCAGGTGTGTCTAATTAGGCGCCGCAACTAAAGCAAAGCTACTGAAAGCCCAGCAAAGCCAGCGAGGTGTCTAAAGTGACGCTTCATGTGGAAAATGGCTAAAGCAAACTGCACGTCCCTTCGTCTGCCTACGCGAAAAGATGCAACACACCCACACACACACACACACACACACACATACGCACACATGCAACTGCAAACTGCAAACTGCATTTCTATGGCGACCCCATCACGTGCGCTATCTCATTCGGCGTTGCATGCAACGAGACGCGACGTAACTCGACTTTTAACCCTGAATGCACGTTATGAATGCAACGTTGGCGTGGCACAGACAACGCACAGACTAGCCCACACCCCGGCAGTTGCGGCACGCCCACAGTCACGCCTGCCGGCTCACACTGAGCCCAGCCAGGCCGGCTGCAGTCAAGGCGCATTGCGTATACGCAGCATTGGCCACTTGCATTATTAAGCGCTACTCCAACGCCCTGATAAGCTGTCGCGAGTGCGAATCTCTGCATGTGTCTTTGTGTGTGTGAGTGTGTGTGGGTGTGCGTGTGTAAATCTCTTTCATTTGCCTTGCATTTTCATTGTGAATGTCAAGTGCCGGCAGTTGCCTTGCGCTTTGTTTTCAGCCCGAGCAACGCAGCACGTGCGTAGCTGCATCGTCATCGACTTCTGCCTCCGTAAGTGGCATTCAAATGCCGTGTCTTTGATTTGACATTAACATATTGCGCAACGTCTGGCCTCTTTGTCAGCCAGTCAATCGACTGCGCTCGAAAGTTTTCATGAACCTCAGACCACTGAGATCTCTTGAGCAGAAGTGCCAGAAAGTCTGAGCACTACCGGTTGTGAAGTCGTACTCAAATACATTGTGCATTGAATGTTATATATTCACAATTTCACTTATGTCACTCCCAATAATTGCCATACAT